ATAGGTGGATTCAATGGCAATTCATTTAGTCGGGAAAATAGGAAATGGAAGTTCGTTCCGTCGTCAAATCTGCACAAAGAGTTGCAGACGCAGCAGCATGGAAATGGTGTGCATGTGCGTTTGTCGTCGATCAACGTTGTGATGGCAGGAAAGGAAATGTTGGATGGGTGGTCACCGGGGAAGGAAGAGACAGGAGGGAAACAAGGACTGGGGTGTGGGGCGGATGGACGTGGGCATGTGCTGTTAAGGATGGCAGGCGGGCGGGCATTACGGAGGCTGAGAGGGTGCCGATAATTCTGCCAGATGATACAAATGTGTACGACCTGTTTCCTCCTCCCGGGAATACATGGTATGGTCTGAGTCATTCGGGGTTCACTCTTCCTCAAGTCCTGCGATGCTAGCACGACCGGATCGATCGATCTGCATGAGCCGAGCCAAAGATCGTGAGCGCCCTTCGATCGATGCCCACCTCTACAATTGTGGATCGGTCGATCGACTCTATGCTGGCTGGCTGGCTGGCTGACTGCAACTGTCGAAGGCCGGAACGTCCAAAATGGCTAAAATCGGCAACGCTGACGACCTCTGAGACCATCTATCTCTGACCACCTCTGAGACCTCTGATGCTCCTCCTTCTGCCTAATTCAGGACCCGCATGACTGGTTAACGAGGTTGAGCAATTGGGAAGTATCATCGCAGTACCTTCCGAGGAGATGGAGCAGAGCCGGACTCTGCGCGGTGTATCTTCTCGAAGGCTTTGATGTCTGTCTGTCTGTCTGTCTTCTGTCGACGAGGCGCATGCAAGGCGCTTCATGTTGAGATGCCGTCCTGCGCACATCGAATCACTCTCGTGGCGGAAGTAGGTGCCCATCCATGCAATCCATACAGTAAAGCGGCTAACTGCAGACACAAATTCAGCGCACTCTCCGGCGAGCGAGAGGCAGAGGCAGAGCTAGGGAGCGGAGGAATCTAAGCTCACGACAACTTGTCGTACCCTTGGTTCCCGTCATCAATCTGTTTTCAGCAGAATATTGCTTTTGACTTCGCCGACAGCTTCGAGCGACATGCTGCCATAACTTTGACACACACACACACGCAGGGCCAGCGAAAGATTGCTTGCGCGCCAACGAGAACAGGAGTCGCATCATGGCCGTGCCCACGAGCTGACCGTCGTCGTCAACTCGAAGAAAACATCGTTTGCGGGGAAACAAACAGCATCTGAAGCTCCTGCGATCAAGTAAACCCACGCAGTAGGAATTGTAGGACCTTTACAGTAAACTTGTTCGTCCTCATGCACACTCGCAAAACCGACACTCTGAATCACCAGCTCTCGTACTCTGAGTGAAGATATTCATTCATTAATTTAGATTACAGGAGTAGTTGTTGTGCAGAAAACAATTACGGTACACTCTATACGGACACAGTTGAGGCAGCCGCAGGAATGCAGGAAAGTGGGATAGATACGGTATGCAATCACGAAACGTACACTGCAATCACTTGCATAGTATATATGTCGTATGTGTCGTCTTTTGGGAAGCAATGTTTTGCCTTCGATGCGCTCGAATGTGAAAATCCAGCAATCGCAGAGCACAGCAAGGGTATCGTTTGGTCCTTCCCAAAAGTCGGGGTCAAGGAAAACAGGGACACTGTCGACTGCAGTATGATATGGAGGATCTACAGTCGATCATGGCCGTATAAAGTTTGTAAAGTAGAAGGGCATATGAGACGCTGATAACTCGCAAATTCTTGTCCGTAGTCAGGAGTTTTACAACAGACATGTGTGAGTAAACTTCCCACGATTATGTGAACTGGTGGCATGTCTAATTTGATGCCCATGAAGATCCGACGGAGGAAGAGGTCCGCTTGCCAGCGGACGCAGCAGGTGACAAAATTCTTGGCCCTCAGCACTAAAAGCTGATAAATAATGGTGAATACACGAGGACAGTCTGACCATTGAAGAACTTAACGCTCAAGATGATCATGAACAACAAAGCCTCCATCACTCTGGGTCATCCAGTCTCGAGGAAATCATCGAAAGCCTCGCACTTCATAGCCACAAGTTTGCGTCAGCAGCTAGAGCTTCGCTGGGTCATAAGTTCAAGCTGTGATATCAAAGAACCCGAACGTTTTGTCCTTAGCAGATCGACATAGTTGGACCATTAAACTCACCAGTTGTTGGGGGTTGAGGTTACAGACCGCCATGAGAGCTCCGAACCATATCTGAGCCTCAAGACATTGCCTATCTCTATATATATGGGATGAAACCTTGCCTCATTCAACTTCTCTGCGAATATCTTCTAGTCTGTCTACATCTGATGCCGAGGAACGCAGTCGACGGGGATGATAGTTTCCCTACAGTAAATCTATGAAATGATCATTACTTTATATGTCGTAATCATTGTATGTATATGTCATGTCAGATTATATATCATGTGACCGGCGACATAGCAGCAGGTATTTGAAAGCAAGTTGATTCGAGACCGAGGGAAGAAATGGACTGCTATGTCTTAGTAGTTATGTCTCTATGTCCACTCTGACTGCTGATGTCACTCGTACGCAATGCTGGAAAGGTTGAACTCCTCGTTCTTGATCCCTCGACGCTTATGACACTTTGGAACAAGAGCAGGACTAAAAGCTCAGCCTAGTGCATTCTTGGTGCCTCGGCATTCATCCTGAAGGACTTCGTTGGCCTTTCAATCATACCGTGTGAGCCACGGATATATGCTCGTTGCTCAAGGATGAATGTCGAAGATAAAAATATACATGACTTCGGTGTAGTGCTTTGCTATGAGATATCGTTGGAGCAGAATGTCTGCCTCTAGTTTTTTCACTCCTCGCTGATATGATCTAGACAGTGAGCGTTTAAACACGTTAATGGTAGTCCGGAATCCGTCAGAAGTCCACGGTCGTCAAATAGATATATAATAGGTGTTAGTCGGCACGCCATCGGTACTGTACATATTTCGTTTTGCAAACAGGTCCCGACCCACTTAATTGCAACCAACAGCTTCTGCATAATTTCATTCACACTTTTGGATTCATTCATATTTCCTGATTATCACATTCTTCCTTGGTAGATTCATAATTCCTAATTCCTAATTATCATCCTCCTCCTTGGAATAAAGCTTCTCTTCAAGATAAAACCACCCCCACGCCTAAAGTCTTGACCAACCACTGCGAAGTATAATAGTTGCCTTTATACATACTATGTGAAGAGCTACTTTGTAATAATAATGCCTACCTTACAATTGTAGTTCCCTTTTCAAATAAACCATTTTATTCAAGAGCGTGAAACTGAATAAAGCATTCGTGGATATGGATCCATTCCAAATGCAGAGTATTTGGAAGCTGCATCCTGTGGAAATAAATCGAGAACTATTACCAGTACTTATGAACATCAACATTAAACATCAACTCGATCAAGAGTGATGAGTTGTTCAGGAGCCATACTATCTTGCAGATCGACTGGATTCTAGCTGCAGTATACACCTTCATGGGCTAAGCGAGGAGACACCTGCAGGGTCAGAGGGTTTAATTTCCGCAACCTCACCATGATGCTTTCTTGCACATCGACGTCCTCGAATCTCATATTGCAAGTCCATGTAATATGGGCCAACATGGATTCAGCAACACTAAAAGCATTCCAAGGTTCGCGGCAGGACAGGTCCCTCCGACCGGAACTGCTGGAAAGGAGCTTGTAAGTGGTTCCTTTGATTCAAAAACCTTGTAGGTTCAAACTTTGTTGGACTCTGTCCATCATTCAGGGGTTCTCTGCAATGTATAATTGATTGTAATCACCTTTGTGTCCTTCAAATATCGTAACCAGTTACTATGGTGTCTCTGATAGATTTATGGAAGAGGAATTACCCAACCGGATGCTGTCTGAAGTTCTCTTCGACCGTAGCCCGAGAGTAAGGTAGTCTATCAAAGTAACCTTCTTCTACCGGTCTTCCTCTCCATTTACCATTGTCTAGGCCCTCCGTCCAGTATTTTCTGCAGGATTTGTCGATGTCGAAGAATTCAGTCTAGGCACAGGTATTTGTTCCTCAATAATAGGAGTCTTGCTTTGATGACGTTGTTCGAATGTCGCTTTTATTCTTTTCATTTGAATTTACAAAAATGTCGGTCATGATTCCATTTGCAGCCTATCCTCTCGCTGGATGCTCCGAAGTTCATCTACAACCATAGTTTTCAAGTTTTCAAGTCGCTAGAGTCTGCTCGCAACTGACGATGATATTCGAGCTCAGGGTCTCGCATTCCTGAGGACTCGATGTTTTGGCTAGTGACATCCACTCGTATGTCAGCTCCAGTAGCTCTTCCAATCTTCCAGTAATATCTCTGCCGGTGGTCTTGTTGCCATAGTCATTCTCGCACAAATGTAAGTGAGAGATGTTTTGACTTCTTGCTCAACCCAATCCCTTCTATCCATCCCGGTATCATCCACTGAATGGAATGTAAAATTGTTGCGCTCGTACTCGCCATCTAAATCGATGCATTACAGTTTAAATTTGTCATCTCATCCCAAGTATTGGAAGATTTTTACACGATTCCACACTTGCACTACCATCCGCGTCATACACGAGGGGGTAAGTTAGGGGGTGTTATATGGGTACTGAAATGCTTAGTCCGAAGTCCATAGTTTTTCTAAAGAACTTTTTATCCTCGATACTACTGATACCACTTCTGATGTTGCCTGTTTCAGGTCAAAATTTTCAAACGGACAACGAACACAGGCCATTGATCCGACGACAAGGCGATCGTACTTACTGAGAGTCTTCTTAATCCGGTACGTAATAACAGGTCTTAGTTTTCTTCGGTTGAAATCAGACTTCACTATATCTGTGTTCAACAGCGCAAGAAATTGCATTCAACTCTTTCGCTGTAGGTACTATAATTCAATTGTTCATTTACACATATGCAAAAAATCTGAAATGAACACAGCAGATTTGACTAACATACACAATCTCGGATATATACTCACTCACATACTCTTAATGTCCATTTTATTTCGGAGTGACACAACTCAATTGGCCCCTGATGAGCTTGAGAATAGACAGACCCATGCAAACTGCTAAGAGCGATCAATGACAGCTTGCAGTCAACCGCAGCACTCGGATGCAGATCGGATCCAGCTACATGCCTAGTCATCGTGCCAGACACCGCACCTAATGCTATAGCATTGGAAACAGTCTAAAGCTGCATACACTCCCCGTACGGTCGACAACAACAAAATGACCGTTCACATCGTAACCACGGAAAAAAGTCACCGACCCAAAGACAAAGGTGTGATCAAAACATCGACAAGGAATTTACTCATATCATGAAAATGCTCTCCCATCTGACACTAACTTCTCCAATTTGCACACCAGAGCCAGGTTGACCAATGCTCACGGACTCTGTCAATGAGAGGGTTGACCAGCCCACACTCCCGTGCAAACTATTCATAGAAACAGAGGACCAAGTAAAGATTTAGCCTTTGGAGTTCCCCACGGCCCCTCCAAGTCCTGCAGTAGTTGCTACGACAAGGGACGTCACCCCGGCCGGTGAGCAAGTGCCCGTAGCTCCCACACTCTGCAGAACAGCGCAGGGACTGCCTGCACTCACTACCCCTCCGTACGACGACAAGTGTCCAGCTGCCCAGCTCCCAGCGGCGATACCCGCACTCTTGAATCCAAGAGACCTCACGACTGGAACAAACGATGGTGCTGAAGCTGATGGCGACCGGCCGTAACTCATGTTGGTCTTCATTCTTCCATGAATCTGCGTCGACATCCAAACATACTGTTATTCCACGCACATGGTCTGAAATGTTTCTGACATAATAAAGAATCAGGAATGGCGATTTGGATCCATGCAGACTATGCAGACTCCACAAATAAGATTACGACCCCCGACAGCACTAGTACACTCAAGAAGAGATCAATGCTCTTCCCCGTCGACGTAACAATCTGACGTGGACGGAGACCGAATGATAGACTGAACTGCCTGGAGATAACTGAGAAAACATACGTTCACCAGCGCCACACAAGCGGAAAAAAGAGTGCATCCAACGACCTCTCTTCATGAGCTAATACATTTCATGCATTCCATACAAACTGTCGCCACACTCTGGCTAAGCGTGTCTGCATTCCAATAAACATTGTCTTCATAATCGCTAGCTTCGCTACAAGGAATGTCTCGGATCTTCTAGGGAGGCTCCAAAAGATGAACGTACCTGATACTCCACACGCTTCCGCAGCGATCAATTACACGAAGCTTCTGCTCGACAACACTCGGTTTCTTTTCCACAGCTTTCACCTTTTCACATGCCCAGCTCAAGCAGCAAGATTCGCTCGCACACTGCTTCCGCTCTTGCTCTAGTCAGATCCTTGCTGTTCGACTTCCCCAAAGCACTTCATATAGTCGACAAGTGAGCTGTTAACATGCATGAAACAAGCGTGTTCCAGTAGAGTATGGACGGCGGGTCGTTGATCGGTTCTTAATGCGAATGAGAAATTCGGCGCCGTCTACCGCGCCGAATTGAGGTCGAGCTCCAGCCTCGAAATTGTACAATTGTACAATCATCGAAACCGATGATTGTACAATTTCGAGGCTGGAGCTCTGTTTTGGACCATATATCGAATCAATCCGAAGGCAAATCCTTGACGCAGTCTGTGAACTCCAATTATAGGAGGAAATGGTTTTGGAAAGAGTTGTGGTTGGAGATTAGATATAAAGTTCAATGTGATCGAAGCAAAATGAAACCTGCAATATGTTGTGCCCAAATGTTTATATTTTTGCTAAATCAACAGATCCTCCAGAATGACTGGTTATACCACTTAAGGGTGGATAGCATATGTGTTCTCTGCCGGTAAGAAAAAGCTTAACGTCAGAAGTACTTAACGCTTACAGAGATAAGTTTATATCACGATGGACATAGGGAGGTTAGTATTTGTGTATGTTGTCCGGTTATCCATGCTGAAGATGAGATTCTCTCTCCGCTACATTGTGACTGGACTACTCATATGAGACCAAAAATTGATACCCATCGCACTTCATTTCATGATATCCTAGTTGTGTGGCCAAGCCCTATCCTACGTCTTTCATCATCTCGAGGACTGGATGTTATGACCAAATTTTTTCTCGTTCGAAGTTAGCACGAGAGCAACTTGCACACGAAAGAGTATAAGTAAGAATTAATAAATATTGCATTGATAAATATAATGTTGAATTGATAAATATTTAGTTTACTCAATGCTAAATTTTTCTTGATCAAAATGGATAATAGCTGAATGATTTATTCTCCGTCATTATTGATTGAATCACTCAACACTCGGCCACAAGTTACAACAAACCACCGGTTGGATGCTTTTGCAGATTGTAATTATCTATAAATTGGTGGGTTTCTTATCAAATTGGTCGGTTGTATGTACATGTGCAAATTTTGTACCTTACGTGTAATTGAAATCGTTGAACCGAAAGCGAAAATATTTCTCAATTGTATAAATGTTCTGTTGATAAGGATGATTTTGAGCGCAGTACTTCATCTTGGTTGCAGCAACCACAGCAACAGTCAAATGCACTTGTTGCAGTTCCCCTCGTCTGTAACTGCAATGGTCGTTACACTACCTGACAGTCATTGCGTACTGATACCGTCAATTTACGTGAAATTTTTGAGCTGAATACGTTGTAATACACATTGCTAAATGGCTACGTCGGCTAATTCCGAATAAGGACATACCTCTTATATTCTTATCCGTTATCTGAATGTTGGCTTCAGTTTCAATGAGCTCATAACTGTTATCAACCATATTTATTTTAGTATACTACCAGATGTTTTAGATCACTCTAGCTTCATCTCCAGCAAAAGCAAGTTAAAAATGTTGAACCAGAAAGTACATATTGTCACATTGAGCTGTGAAATCTATCAGCCAAACTCGATTGCTTCAACTATAAAATAATCGATAGCTTTCAGGAATGTCACTGAGACCAACGCCCTAGCCTCAACATCTCACAAAGAAATCTCCATCATTCATATGCATCAGCAGACTTTCTTATTCCCCGAATGAATTTGTCTAATATAGGACATTTTCATAATCATACCCCACACATTCTTGAGTTTCTTTTGTTTGACCTCAGTTTCACCAAGAGGCGACTTCTGAGTCTTCCTCGGATTCTTCTTTCTACCCATTCTCAGAGGTATATTGGATCTCCACTTACACACGGGTTCTAAATTTTTGCTCCACATCGTTGATCCACCATGGAAAGTACTGATGATTCAATTGTAATGGTATGTGACGTTATACTATATTCATCACTCCGTCTCCGAGGATGGATAGAAGGGATTGAGTTGAGCAAGAGGCCAAAACATCACTCATACATTTGTGCGAGAATGACTATGACAACAAGACCACCGGCAGAGACGCTACTGGAAGATTGGAAGAGCTACAGGACCTGACATACGAGTGGATGTGACGAGCCAAAACAAGGAGTCTTCAGGAATTCGAGACCCTCAGCTCGAAAATAATCGTAAGTTGCGAGCAGAGTCTAACGACTTGAAAACTTGAAAACTACGGTTGTAGATGAACTTCGGAGCATCCAGCGAGAGAAAAGGCTGCAACTGGAAACATAACCGACATTTCCGTAAATTTAGAAGAGAAAAATAAAAGCGGCATTCGGATGACTTCATCAAAGCAACACTAGTTAAAACTCATCGCATCTGCATTGAGTCCTGTGTAATCATGGAGCTTGGTAGAAGTCATCGACAAAAACTTGTGAAATTGCTCCACTCTTTCACGGAGGTGTGTGCGCGCGCACATGCTTGTTAACATATCCCTGGATTCACGGTGCATACAACCCACTTTGCATTCAAACGTAGAGCTGCTGGTTATGATAAGAGACTTCATTATTGATATTTGTATTGTTGAAATTTTGTAGACCTTCATCATCGGAGGAATAGATACCTGTGCCTAGACTGAATCTTTCGACATCCACAAATCCTGCAGAAAATACTGGACCGAGGACCTAGACAATGTTAAATGGAGAGGAAGAACAGTAGAACAAGGGTACCTTGATAGACTACCTTACTCTCGGGCTACGGTCGAAAAGAACTTCAGACTGCATCCGGTTGGGTCCTTCCTCTTCCATAAGTCGATCAAAGACACCATAGTAAGTGGTTACGATCTTTGAATGGCACAAGAGTGATTATTAACAAGTGTGCATCGCACAGAACCCCTGAATTATGAACGGAATCCAACAAAGTTTGAACCTACAAGGTTTTTGAATGACCCAATCGACCTCAAAGGAACCACTTACAAGCTCCTCCCCAGCAGTTCCGGTCGGAGGGATCTGTCCTGCTGCGAACCTTGGAATGCTTTTAGTCTTGCTGAATCTGGCCCATATTATACGGACTTGCAAAGCGAGATTCGATGACGTCGATGTGCAAGAAAGCATCGGGGTGAGGTTGCGGAAACCGAACCCTCTGACCCTGCAGGTGTCACCTAGCTTAGTCCATGAAGGTGTATACTGCAGCTAGAATCATCTTCGATCTGCAAGTTATGAAGGACCGACAGCGTAAAGTTTCCAGTCAATCTGCAAGGTAGTATGGGTACTGAACAACTCATCACTCTTGACCGAGTTGATGCTAAATGTTGATGTTCATAAGTGATGGTAACAGTTTTCGATATAATTCCACACGATGCAGCTTCCAAATACTCTGTATGTGAAATGGATCCATATCCACGAATAAATTATTAAGTTTCATGCTCTGAAATAAAATAGTATATGAGCTATCCTATTTGCATAACCCTAGCTGTGTTGATAATCAGCCTGAGAAAACTATGTTCTTTGCAGCAGAATATTTAGCTTCAAAAGTTAACATCTTCACTGCAATTTGCTACTCCTATCAATCGTGATACTTCCAAACTTGTTATCATTTCAGAATATCTACATCCTTCCCATGATCTGATTTGGTAAAAATATGATATATCAAACCTCCATACTTGCTAATTGAAGACCCGAATTCATCTAAACTTTCACATACTGCAAAATCAATTTTGCAGCATTCCAATGAATCTCTTGGGTATGTTGCATATATATACACACTATTCATTACAAAACTAATATACAATCTTGAGATCATTGTGATAAAGAGAAATGATTCAACTAATGATCTATATAATACAACTTCAACGGCCGGTGTTGCAGTATCAAGTTTTCACTACAATCTAGTAGCTATCGGAAGACATACCAAGTTACATGTCTCGAAATTAAATATCGCTAGAAATTTTTGTATAAAACTCTCGAGATTAGTGAAAAAGTTTACTTTGATCAGCGCGTGCACGGTCACTTGAGTTGCTTTGGCCTTGGGCTTGTGGAGTAGTGAGTTGAACAATTGGCTCCACCTGAATAATATTCTCTAAGGTTTCTGCCATGTTAGTGACACTCACATCACTAGAACTTGGATTAGTCCATGATTGACAAGGAAATACAATGTCATTAAATATCATGTCTTTACTATTGATAATTTTGAAACCGTTCTCTTCCCTTATCCACAGTCGATACCCCTTGTTACCTTGTGGATAGCCAAGGAACACGCATTTGATGTCTCTTGACTCTAATTTGCCTTGACTTTGATGAACATATGCAGAGCATTCAAACTTTCTCAAGTGATTGTGATCAAGTGGCCTTTAACTCTATTTTTATTCTGGTGTCGTGAACTCAATGGCACTTGAAGGGCATCTATTCACGAGATATGCTGCGGTGATCATTGCCTTGCCCCAGAAAGTCTTAGCCAATCCGGAATTGAATAACATGCTTTTTGCCTTGTTAAGTAATGATATGTTCATTCTTTCGTCAACTCCGTTTTGCTAAGGGATTAGTTTCACGGTTTTATGCCTTTGAATACCCTCATTGGCACAAACTTGATCAAACTCTGCATTACAAAAATCAAGAACAATATCCGTTCTTAAAGTATCAACCACAATTTTCCATTATTGAAATTTTTCAAAAGCCTGATTTTTGTGTTCAACAAATATATCCAAACTTTTCTAGAAAATTCATCAATGATAGACAAGAAATAGAAATTACCACCATGGGTTGCTGTCCTTGAAGATCCCCACAAATCTGAGTGAATGTACTTAAGGATTTGTATAGAAGTGTGCTTTGCCGGGCATAATTTCTTCTTGTGTTGCTTTGCCAAAATGCAATGCTCGTAAAAATCAAGTTTGTTGAATTTGATTGCTCATCAGTTATAGATCCTTTTCATTGATATGACCAATCTTTTGGTGCCAAAGTGTAGCTTTGTTGTTGTTTTGAGTAGTGGCAATTGACGCAACTCCATGGAGAGTATCTTTGATGAGATTATAGAGACCGGCTATCTTGATACCCTTTAAAACCGTAACACCTTTTGCAATATACATGGAACCTTGGTTTATCTTATAAGTATAATCCAAGTAATCAAGAATGCCAATAGAGATCAGGTTCTTAGACAAATTCAGGTACCCATCTAACATTTTCAAGAATTGTCATAACATCATCAACCATGTCAATGCTAATATATCATATACAAGCAGTAGAACAAGAATAATTTTTACCTAGTGGACTACCAATTCTTGTTGTGTGTCATATGATGGATGCAACTCGAGTCAAGGATTCAGTCGGATCCATCCAGCCTTCAACTTTTCCGATGCCATGAGAACTTCGTCGTCGTTGTAGCCATTACCAAAGTTTGTTGAATCTTGGTGATCTTGAGATATGCTAGCATGAGTGTTCTTGTTTTTTTAATCCATGAGTAACAATCTTTCTTGATATGACTCATCTTGTTGCAATAGAAGCACTTCTTGTCAACGTTAGAATTGATACTCTTATTGTTGATTTTAGTAGATGTTTTGCCGTGATTCTTGAGCTTCGAATTGCTTTCATTTGTGTTCTTGCACTCCTGTTTGCCACGAGACATGTGATATTTGCCATCATCAGAAGTCTTCTTGTCTGCTCTGATTTCAAAGTCTTTGGATCAGAGCGCGAATGTCATTTCATCTAGAGTGATCGATGACTTTTCGTACTTGATTGGTGATTTCATCTCTCTCTATGATTCAGGAAGAGAATTGAAAATAATGATTATTTTATTCTCGTTGTTGAACTCTTCTTTGTTGCCGGAATTTGCGAGCTCAATAGTCATCTTCAAGAACTCGTCTAAGTTGACTTCCAATGACTTTGTCTGATTCATCATGAACCCAAAGAGACTCTCCTTCAAGTGGATCTTGTTGAAGAGAGATTAAAACATCTCATCAAGTTTCTTCCACACATTCGTTGATATGTTTTACTTGTCAATTAGGCTGATACAAATCACACTGGTGAAAGATGATTGTACTCATAACTCTTTTAGACATTTCTTCTCTTTGATCTTGAAGAATGTCTTCATGCCATAGCACTGGGTTGAAGATGACCCTCAGCATTCTCTATTGGACAAGGAGTGCTGAGATTTTTTGGCGCATGATGCAAAAATCTCTAGTGCCATCAAATTTCTCTTTGTAGATTCTTATTGCCATCAAAGTATTCCAAAAATTGAGATTCAATATGCTTCGTTGAGACGAATTCGTGTTGGTGCTTTGATGTGGAATATCGTCGCTCCTTTCTGGCTCGCCAGTGTGTCCAGCAAGGCTACTTGATGCTTCCAAGTCCGCCAGGTGAATTGAGCGCAGTAGACAGATGCGACAAAGCTTTGAAATTAAGATCGATGCTACTATGCTCTTATACCACATTAGGGATCTGAATTCCCATAACCAACCGAAAATCACAGCCCACACACAAAAACAAACACAAGAATTTGTGAACAAGGTTCAGCTTGAAAGCCTAGTCTCCGGGAACTCTTCAATGGAGGCAGTTCAAGTATATATCGAAGATTAGTGTCGTTAGACTTGAATTTCTTACCATCATTACAAGATTTCAGTCTGGTGAGAAATACACACAGAATAATCAATCCTGTTTCCCGAGCAAGATTAACACTTCCTCACATATGATTCTCTCTCTCAATGTGTCTCCCTGTTCTCACTCTCGACCATTCTTGAAATTTCTTCATTGTAATCTCTCCCTTAATCCGCTTGCTGACTTTATATCATTCTGCTTTATTACAAGACTTCAGTCCGGTGAGAAATACACACAAAATAATCAATCTTGTTTCCCGAGCAAGACTAACACTTTATCACATATGATTCTCTCTCAATGTGTCTCCCTGTTCTCACTCCCGATAATTCTTGAAATTTCTTCCGTGTAATCTCTCCCTTAATCCGCTAAAGGACTTTATATCATTCTGCGGTACGTTATAACACTAAAAAAAACAAAATGAATCAAAGCTGTCAATTCTTAAAAAACCCATAAGATATTGACTCATCAGCAAATTATTACTAAATAAAAAAACGACAAAAAACTCTTAAAAAAACACACATGCAATTGAAACTGATATATCAGAGTCTTCACCAACCAATGCGAAGTATAATAGTTGACTTCAAACGTACTATGTAAAGAGCTAGTTTGTAACACTAATGCCTACCTTACAACTGTAGTTAACTTTTCAAAAAGCCGTTTAATTCCAGAGCATGAAACTGAATAAAGCATTCGTGGATATGGAGCCATTCCAAATGCAGAGTATTTAGAAGCTGCATCCTGTGGATATAATGCGAGAACTATTACCAGTACTTATGAACATCATCATTAAACATCAACTCGATCAAGAGGGATGAGTTGTTCAGGAGCCATACTATCTTGCAGATAGACTGGAAACTGTACACTGTCGGTACTTCAGAACTTGCAGATCGAAGATAATTCTAGCTGCAGTATACACCTCTTTGGCCTTAGCGAGGAGACACCGGCAGGGTCAGAGGGTTTAGTTTCCGCAATCTCGCCCGTGATGCTTTCTTGCACATCGACGTCCTCGAATCTCATATTGCAAGTCCGTTTAATATGGGCCAACATGGATTCAGCAACACTAAAAGCGTTCCAAGGTTCGCGGCAGGACAGGTCCCTCCGACCGGAACTGCTGGGGAGGAGCTTGTCAGTGGTTCCTTAGAGGTCGATTGGTTCATTCAAAACCTTATAGGTTCAAACTTTGTTGGACTCTGTCCATCATTCAGGGGTTCTACGCAATGCATAATTGTTTGTAATCACCTTTGTGTCCTTCAAATATAGTAACCAGTTACTATGGTGTCTTTGATCGACTTATGGAAGAGGAAGGATCCAACCGGATGCAGTCTGAAGTTGTCTTCGACCGTAGCCCGATAGTAAGGTGGTCTATCAAGGTACCCTTCTTCTACCGGTCTTTCTCTCCGTTTAACAGTGTCTAGGTCATCGGTCCAGTACTTTCTGCATGATTTGTGGATGTCGAAGTATACAGTCTAGGTACAGGTATATGTTCCTCCGATGATGAAGGTCCACAATTTTTTAATACTACAAACATTAATGATGAAATCTCTCATCACAACCAGCAGCTCTACATTTGAATGCAAAGTGGGTTGTATACACCGTGGATCCAGTCTTGCAACCCTAGTCAATTGCAGGGATATATTAACAAGCATGTGCGCGAGCGCACACACCTCCGTCAAAGAGTGCAACAATTTCACCAGTTTTTGTCGATGAATCCTACTGAGCTCCATGACTACACAGGATTCAATGCAGATGCGACAAGTTTTAACGAGGGTCTTGCTTTGATGAAATCATCTAAAACCCGCTTTGATTTTTCTCTTGAATTTACGGAAATGTCGGTTATGTTTCCTGCTGCAGCCTTACCTCTCGCTGGATGCTCCGAATCTCATCTACAACCATAGTTTTGATGTTGCTAAATTTTGCTCGCAACTTATGTTGATTTTCGAGCTGATATTCTTGAGGCTGAGGATGTCGAATTCCTGAGGACCCGACCTTTTGGATAGCGACATCCACTCGTGTCAGCTCCTGTAACTCTTCCATTCTTCCGGTATGTCTCACCCGGTGGTCTTGTAGCAATAGTCATTCTCGCACAAGTGTATACGAGTGATGTTTTGGAGTAGGCCAGGGCTCTTGCTCGACACACTCCCTTCCATCCATCCCGGTACCATCCACTGAATGGAATGTTAAAATGCTGCGCTCGTACTGGCCATCAAAATCGACGCATTAGTTTGAATTCGTCACCTCAATTACTGAAGATTTTTACACGATTACCCACTTGCACTACCATCCGCGTCATACACCAGATCATCAAAAGATAGGTGGTGTGCTAGGGATACTGAAATTTGAAGCCCAAAGTCCACGTGAGTAATTCATATCCTCGATATTACTTAAACCATAATCGGGCTCCTGTTTCTGAATCGCCTGTCGAAGATACGCGTGCGCGACGATTTCCTGCTGCTCTTTACCGGCCTGTGGCCGACCATGGAGTCCCGCAGGCGCAGCATAGAGCAGTTGAATATCGAGCAGGAGCGCATGAGTTGACTGAACGACGAGGAATTGAATGTGTACACGTTAAGTCAGAAAGACTCCGGGAACCACCTTCCTCCGATGGACAGTCGCGATCGCGCCCTTAGGAAGGACTTTGGGGCATTTTACTTCATCAAAGACACGTTTCGCGATAAGGCGACATCCCTAAAACACAAGACAAGAAGCATGTGTATTACGGAAGCTGTAAACTTGCCCTTCAGAGCATTGGACATTGTGTTTTTTATTCGTAAAATATTTGGGATTTGGCATTTTTGTTTTTTATGGACGGACGATTCTTCATACTGCAGCTTCCCGTCGACCGAGCAAACTTTTCCCACCATCCTGAGAGCAAGCCCGTGCTTTGTGATCATATGGATTGCCGACCATCATTTGCGAGGAATTAGCTGTGTGAACACGTCGTTGTGTAAAGAGGAGGTAGCCGCAGAGAAAACACGGCACAAGTAAGTAGATTGGAAACCTGGAAGAAACCATACGGGTGGTTAAAAAATCCACAAGACGCTGGGCTATTACTGAGTAGCAATACAGGGTCGCCTTCCTCTGCTCTATTCTAGTCGAAAACACACATCTACTACAGCCGTCCTGGACTCTGTTCTAGTCGACAACCTTAATTCAAAACACATCTACTACTCATCGACTTCTTAATATAGCCAATAACAAGCACAGTCTCCGCGAAACAGGTGCATAGAACTCCGCGAGACGTCAAGGCCCCTACTTGAAACTTTCATCGAACTTTGTCTTCACAACCAACGAATTGGACTCTTATACGTACTTTAGCCTGTGATATAACCCAAATTCTTAATTTCTCGAAAAGAACATGGACGGACAATTGAAACAATATCGTGACGAACGAAAGAAAGCCAATATTCCAAGTTGCTGAAATTGCAAGGCATCTTATACGACACAATCCTCTTCCTAATCCTCTTGCTATGCAAAGACCACAATCTCAGCAAACGGAGAGTCAAGCATGTATTGGGAGCAGGGCACATTCGAAATGACTCCGACGGCTAAACGGTCGCTTCTCTTTCTCTCTCTCTTTTTGTCAAGCCCGGTCAAAACGATATCAGAAGTAGAAGGTTTGTTACCTGGTAAATTCCCACTTGGCGTTCAGCCGATCTCCTCTTGCGAGCAAACTTCTCGACTTCAATGCTCTGGAATCGTATCAAAGGTAAAGAGTTTGTTACCTGATAAGATTCCCACTTGGCGCTCAGCCGATCTCCACTAGCGAACAAAGTTCTCGACATCAGTGCTCTAGAATACTATCTACATATTTGACTGTTGAAGAACCACTTTCGAAGAGAAAGCCATAAGGGACTTGGGAGTCGAGAAGGTACACACACACGCAGACACATTTTCGAAATGTAGAACTAAGCCTTGACTGAAGTAAATTTTAGAAACAATTTAGCCCGTGCAATCACTGTGTGACATGTCTCCTGCCCCATGGAGCAGGGTTCACTGATGATGGATGAACCACTTGCGGCCCGCAAGTGGTTGCCGATTAAGTGCAAGTTGCGGGACAGCGAAGCAAACTCGTACATGATGCAATAGCGCAGTCGCGCCCAGTCTGAATCCTCTCTGCGGATGAATAAAGACATATGATGCTCGCGCAGTGGATCGGATCTTCGAGGACTTTGAAAAAAAGACAAGTTCGTTAGTTGAACTGAAATCTCGATTAAGTTGGATTGTGCGCACTATTCTGCCGACTAGCTGCGCTCTGGATGTCGCCGGCGCCCTGATCGGCTTTCATAAGCTCCGCAGCACGGCGATGTGCGCTTTGTGTGTGGGTGGCCGGACCGAGGCGCTTGGAAACAAAGTCGGGTCGGTCCCATTAGGAAGAAGAGCTCCGCGTTAGGAATTCGGCTCTGCTGGCTTGCGCTCCTACACAGTGAAATCTGCGTGCCTTACAAGCAGAGGATCGTCCCGGGGTTCATCGCGCCGCGACATCGCAGGGGGGAGGGAGAGATCGGCAGGGAGCGGCGGATAGGGGGGCATGGATTCAAAAAGTCGAGCGGCGGATAGGGGAGCAAATGCAGCAGCGGCAGGTTTGCTCCACCTCGTCCTTCAACCGATGGATCGAGTAGATAGCGACGAGGAGGAGCTGACTGGGGACATCCGCATAGACTATAGATATAGGAGAAATCAATTGTACTCGCAGCTCCTCTCGGCCTTCGCGGCGGGGCAGGTGGAGTTCGTGGCCGAGTTCCTCAATAACTCCCCGTTCAATGGCCTGGTGAGCAAGGCACGCGACGCCGACGGCTACACGGCACTACACCGTGCGGTGGTTCTCCAGCAGCTTGAGGTGGCGCGGCTGCTGTCGCGCCGCGCGACAGCAGCCGCACCACAGCAGCCGCGCGAGCCCTTAGACCCGTCTCCGTCTCCGCTGGGGGAGTGGCCGTCGTTGCGCCGGCCCTACGACCCGATTCCGATGCTGCACGAGAAAACGCGGCACGGGTGGACGGCGCTGCACCTTGCGGTGTGCGCTGACAACGTGGAAATGGTGGACCTGCTGCTCAAGTGGTACGAGGGCTTTGGCCTGCCGGCGGACTCCCTCACCGTGGGACCGTGGGACTTTCACGACAAGTTCGGGATGACACCGCTGCATTACGCCGTGCTGGGTCACATGACCGGCGTGGTGAGCCTGCTGGCGCGCTCCAAAGCCTTTCGCAAGAACCTCAACGACGTGGACAACTTCCGGCGCTCGGCGCTGCACATGGCCTGCGCGAACGTGAACGCGGCCGTGGCCGAGCTGCTGGGCGCGCCGGACGTGGACTGTAACGCCAAGGACTGCTGCGCCTACACGCCGCTGCACTGGGCCGTGGTGCAGGGCGAGGCCGAGGCCGTGCGCCCCTTGACCAGCCGCGCGACGGAGCGCATCATCCGCACCACGGAGGAGGACATCCAGGGCCGGACCGTGATGCAGGTCGCCATCGAGAACCCCACCAAGGTCGGGCGCGACCTGGAGAGGCTGCTGCTGACAATGCCCGAGTTGAAGGACGAGGTGGAGCGCCTGTACCGCGACCGGCAGGTGTTTGTGGACGCGGCCAACGCCATCCTGCTGGGCGCGGCGCTCATCGCCAGCGTCACCTTCGGCGGCTGGCTGCAGCCCCCGCACGGCCACGATCCGGAGGTGCGCATCTTCTGGGCCTTCAACAGCCTCGCCTTCTTCTTCTCGATGGCCACCGTCATGGCCGGCGCCGGCACCGTGCTGCCCATGTCGGACGTGTACATCGGCCACTCCGTCACCAGAATCCGGCTCTGGCTCGCGCTCACCTCGTTCCTGCTCCTCGTCTCCGTCGTCCTCGTGCTGGGGGCCTTCGCCGCGGCCGGGTTCGCCTCGCTCCAGCCCATCCCCAAGCTGCACAGCAACATGCTGATCACCACCTGCATCGGCTCCGTCGTCTGTGGCGTGATCGCGCTCCTGTTTCTGAAGCGCATGTCGAAGATCCGCGTGCGCGACGATTTCCTGCTGCTCTTTACCGGCTTGTGGCAGACCATGGGGTCGACCCGCAGGCGCAGCATAGAGCAGTTGAATATCGAGCAGGAGCCCATGAGTAAACTGAACTACGAGGAATTCGATGTGTTCAGGTTGAGTCAGGAAACGTCGAACCACCTTCCTCCGAAGGACTTTCGATGTGTTCAGGTTGAGTCAGGAAACGTCGAACCACCTTCCTCCGAAGGACTTTCGATGTGTTCAGGTTGAGTCAGGAAACGTCGAACCACCTTCCTCCGAAGGACTGTCGCGAGCGCGCCCTTAAGAAGGACTTTGGGGCACTTTGCTTCATCCAAGACACGTTTCGCAAAAAGGCGAAAGTCATAGAAGACGAGACAAGAAGCATGAACGATAACTCCAGCGGGAAGGACTTTGCGGCCTTTTACTTGAGCAAAGACACTTTTCGAGATAAGGCGAAAGCCCTAGAACCCGAGACAAGTACATTGTATGATACGGTCAAGGGGAAGGGGAAGCTGTAAAGTTGCTCCTTAGAGCATTGGACATTTTCTTTTTTATTCGTCAAAGATTTGGGATTTGGTATTTTTTTTTTTTTTAAATGGACGGACGATTCTTCACACTGCATCTTCCCTTCGACCGAGCAAACTTTTCTACCATCCTGAGTAGCAGCCCGTCACAGGTCAAAAAGATCTTGCCAAAGAATATTATATTTGAAATCATATATATTATAATTATTATTATTATAACTTCAAGGATGCTCGCGCAGAGTATCGGATCTTCGAAAACTTCGAAGAAAAGGCAAGCTCGTTAGTTAAATTGATATCTCGAGTAAGTTGGTTTGTGCGCACTATTCTGCAGACTCGCTGCGCTCTGGCTCGGCGCCACGTTCGACGTTCATAAGCTCCGCAGCACGGCGATGTGCGCTTTGTGTGTGGGTGGCCGGACCGAGGCGCTTGGAAACAAAGTCGGGTCGGTCCGATTAGGAAGAAGAGCTCCGCGTTAGTGATTCGGCTCTGCTAGCTTGCGCTCCTGCACAGTGAAATCTGCGTGCCTTAGAAGCAGAGAATAGGCCCGGAGTTCACCGCGCCGCGACATTGCAAGGGGGGAGAGATTGCCAGGGAGCGGCGGATAGGGAAGCATGGCTCGAGCATGGACTTATAAGGAGATGATTGACGACACCACGATGGAGATCGAGGACCTGAAAATGACACGAGATATGAGAGACACGAGGAACCAATCTAGAGCCGTGCAGATGCAAGAGATACGTGAGAGACGAGAGGGACGACATATGACAAACACAAGAGTCAAGAAGGGCTCGCCGGAGGACAAGTGGAGCAAAGAGCTGCTCTCGGCCTTCGCGGCGGGGCAGGTGGAATTGGTGGCCGAGTTCCTCAATAACTCCCCGTTCAAGGGCCTGGTGGACAAGGCGCGCGACGCCGACGGCTTCACGGCACTACACCGTGCGGTGGTTCTCCAGCAGCTTGAGGTGGCGCGGCTGCTGTCGCGCGTGCCCTTAGACCCGTCTCCGCATCAGACGCTGGAGGGGTGGCTGTCGTCGCGCCGGCCCGGCGACCCGTATCCGATGCTGCACGAGAAAACGCGGCGCGGGTGGACGGCGCTCCACCTGGCGGTGTTCGCCGACAACCTTGAAATGGTGGACCTGCTGCTCAAGTGGTACGAGGGCTTCGACCTGCCGGCGGACTACCTCTGGGACTTTCACGACAATTTCTGGATGACGCCGCTGCATTACGCCGTGCTGGGTCACATGACCGGCGTGGTGCGCCTGCTGGTGCGCTCCCAAGTCTTCCGCAAGAACCTCAACGACGTGGACAACTTCCGGCGCTCGGCGCTGCACATGGCCTGCGCGAACGTGAACGCGGCCGTGGCCGAGCTTCTGGACGCGCCGGACGTGGACTGTAACGCCGTGGACTGCTGCGCCTACACGCCGCTGCACTGGGCCGTGGTGCAGGGCGGGGCCGAGGCCGTGCGCCCCTTGACCAGCCGCGCGACGGAGCGCATCATCCGCCCCACGGAGGAGGACATCCAGGGCCGGACCGTGATGCAGATCGCCATCGAGAACCCCACCAAGGTCGGGCGCGACCTGGAGAGGCTGCTGCTGACAATTCCCGAGTTGAAGGACGAGGTGGAGAGCCTGTACCGCGACCGGCAGGTGTTTGTGGACGCGGCCAACGCCATCCTGCTCGGCGCGGCGCTCATCGCCAGCGTCACCTTCGGCGGCTGGCTGCAGCCCCCGCACGGCCACAATCGGGAGGTGCGTATCTTCTGGGCCTTCAACAGTCTGTCATTCTTCTTCGCGATCGCCACCGTCATGGCCGGAGCCGGCACCGTGCTGCCCATGTCGGACGTGTACATCGGCCACTCCGTCTCCAGAATCCGGCTCTGGCTCGCGCTCACCTCGTGCCTGCTCCTCGTCTCCGTCGTCCTCGTGCTGGGGGCCTTCGCCGCGGCCGGGTTCGCCTCGCCCATCCCCAAGCTGCACGGCAACATGCTGATCACCACCTGCATCGGCTCCGTCGTCTGTGGCGTGATCGGGCTCCTGTTTCTGAAGCGCCTGTCGCAGATCCACGTGCTCGACGATATCCTGCTGCTCTTTGAACGCCTGTGGCAGACCATGGGGTCGACCCGCAGGGGCAGCATGGAGCAGTTGAATTTCGAGCAGAAGCCCGTCAGTAGACTGACAGAAAAGGAATTGAATGAGTACACGTTGAGTCAGGTAGGCCCCGGGAACCACATTCCTCCGATGGACTGTCGCGATCGCGCCGTTAGGAAGGACATTGGGGCATTTTACTTCATCAAAGACACGTTTCACGAAAAGGCGAAAGCGCTAGAAGAAGAGACAAGAAGCTTGAATGATACGTCCAGGGAGAAGGACTTTGCGGCCTTTTACTTCAGCAAAGGCACGTCTCGAGATAAGGCTAAAGCCCTAGATACGGTCAGGGGGAAGGGGAAGCTGTAAACTTGCTCCTCAGAGCATTGGACATTCTGTTTTTATCCGTGAGAGATTTGCGATTTGGCATGTTCTTTTTAATGGACGGGCGATTCTTCACACTGCAACTTCCCTTCGACCGAGCAAGCTTTTCCCATCATCCTGAGTAGCAGCCCGTGTTTTGTGATCATATGGATTGCCGACCATCATTTGGGAGAGATTAGGTGTGTGAACAGGTCGTTGTGTATAGAGGATGTAGCCAAAGAGAAAACACAACAAGCTTTTCCCACCATCTGAGTAGCAGCCCGTGTTTTGTGATCATATGGATTGCCGACCATCATTTGGGAGAGATTAGGTGTGTGAACAGGTCGTTGTGTAAAGAGGAGGTAGCCAGAGAGAAAACACAGCACAAGTAAGTAGATTAGAAACCTGGAAAAAACCATATGGGTGGTTAAAAAATCCACAAGACGCATAATTAAATATTCAGTTTTTCTCAATGCTAAAATTCTCTTGATCAGAATGGATAATAGCTGAATGAGGTATTCTCCGTCATTATCGATTGAGTCACTCAACACTCGGCCACAAGTTACAACAAACCACCGGTTGGATGTTTTTGCGGATTGCAATTATTTATAAATTGGTGGGTATCTTATCAAATTGCTCGGTTGTATGTACATGTGCAAATTTTGTACCTTACGTGTAATTGAAATCTTTGACCCGAAAGAGAAAATATTTCTCAATTGTATCAATGTTCTGTTGATAAGGATGATTTTGAGCGCAGTACTTAATGGAGTTCCAGAATGTAATGAGTTCGAGAAGAGCTGATCTTACCGATCAGATACATACCATCCCCTTCTCATTAAGGAGGCAACCTTTCGGCCACGGGGGATGATTGGACCTCAGCTCAACGAATGCGGCTCTTTACCGTAGGGACATGATGGAATAGTTGGTCGATGGATATTAGACCCTCCATGAAGTGCACAGCGGATGAGGTGTCCAGCGTAGCAAATATGGAACATATAAGACATGTATGAGAAAAACGACATTTCGCTGAACTTTCCAGTATGTTACATCAAGACTCAACAGGTTGGGAAATGGCGCGGTGGGTATGACCAGTACCAACAACATGTGTTTAAGAGTTCATCATTATGGAATGAACAAAAGCGGCATCACTTACCTCAAGGGCAAACGCGAGAGAAAGAAGGTACCAAAACTGATAAAAGACTAGAGCAAGAGTTACTGTTCCTAAACTCTATTTGTTTCGTTCGAAATCTCCATGAAGTCTAAGGTAGATGATATGTAATAAAAAGTAATATTAAACGGTCTCCTAAATTCGATTTTTGCATATCAAGCAAATGACAAACAAAGGAGGAGAATATAGCGTCCAGTCCTCGAGATGATGAAAGACGTAGGATAGGGCTTGGCCACACAACTAGGAAATCATGAAATAAAGTGCGATGGGTATCAATTTTTGGTCTCATGTGAGTTGTCCAGTCACAATGTAGCGGAGAGAGAATCTCATCTTCAGCATGGATAACCGGACAACATACACAAATACTAACCTCCCTATGTCCATTGTGCTATAAACTTGTCTCTGTAAGCCTTAAGTACCTCTGACGTTAAGCTTTTCTCCTGAGGAAAACATAAAAAAATTTGTCACAACAAATTGCCGGATTCATTTTGCTTCGATCACAGTGAATTCTGGATCTAATTTCCAACCACAACTGTTTCCAAAACCATCTCCTATAATGGGAATTCACACACTCAAGGATTTGCCTTCGGATTGCTTCGAAATATGGTCCAAAACAGAGCTCCAGCCTCGAAAATATACAATCATCGGTTAGTTCTTTAACTCTCAACCTCAATTGGGCGAGGTAGACGGCGCCGAATTTCCCATTCGCATTAAGAACGCATCAACATCCCGCCGTCCATACTCTACTGGAACACGCTTGTTTCATGCATGTTAAGAGCACACTTGTCGACTATATGAAGTGCTTTCGGGAAGTCGAGCAGCTAGGATCTGACTAGAGCAAGAGCGGCAGCAGTGTGCGAGCGATCCTTGCTGCTTGAGCTGGGCATGTGAAAAGGTGGCAACTGTGGAAAAGCAGAGTCTTGTCGAGCAGAAGCTTTGTGTAATTGAGTGCGCGGAAGCCTGTGGAGTATCAGGTACGTTCATCGATGGGAGCCTACCTAGAAGGTCCGAGACATTCCTAGAAGCGAAGCCAGTGATTATGAAGGCAATGTTTAGTAGAATGGAGACAAGCTCTGCTAGTGTGTGGCGACAGCTTGTATGGAATGCATGAAATATATTAGCTCATGGAGAGAGCTCGTTGGATGCATTCTTTTTTCCGCTTGCATGGCGCTGGTGAACGTATGTTTTCTCAGTTATCTCCAGGCAGTTCAGTCTATCATTCGGTGTCCGTCCACGTCAGATTGTTACGGCGACGGGGAAGAGCATTGTTCTCGTCTTCGGTGTACTAGTCCTGTCGGGGGTCGTAATCTTATTGGTGGAGTCTGGATAGTCTGCATGGATCCAAATCGCCATTCCTGATTCTTTATTACGTCAGAAACATTTCAGACCATGTGCGTGGAATAACAGTATGTTTGGATGTCGACGCAGATTCATCGAAAAATGAAGACCAACGTGAGTTACGGAAGTTGGCCATCAGCTTCAGCACCATCGTTTGTTCCAGTCGTGAGGTCTCTTGGATTCACGAGTGCGGGTATCGCCGCTGGGAGCTGGGCAGCTGGACACATGTCCTCGTACGGAGGGGTAGTGATCATTGGTCAACCTGGTCAAACTGGCTCTGGTGTGCAAATTGGAGAAGTTAGTGTCAGATGGGAGAGCATTTTCATGATATGAGTAGAAGGCCTTGTCGATGTTTTGATCACGCCTTTGTCTTTGGGTCGGTGACTTTTTTCCGTGGTTACGATGTGAACGGTCATTTTGTTGTTGTCGACCGTACGGGGAGTGTATGCAGCTTTAGACTGTTTCCAATGCTATAGCATTAGGTGCGGTGTCTGGCACGATGACTAGGCATGTAGCTGGATCCGATCTGCATCCGAGTGCTGCGGTTGACTGCAAGCTGTCATTGATCGCTCTTAGCAGTTTGCATGGGTCTGTCTATTCTCAAGCTCATCAGGGGCCAATTGAGTTGTGTCACTCCGAAATAAAATGGACATTAAGAGTGTGAATATATATCCGAGAATGTGTATGTTATTCAAAAATCTGCTGTGTTCATTTCGGATTTTATGCATGTGTAAATGACCAATTGAAAAAGTGGTATCAGTAGTATCGAGGATAAAAAGTTCTTTAGAAAATCTATAGACTTTGGACTAAGCATTTCAGTACCCATATAACACCGCCTAACTTACCCCCTCGTGTATGACGCGGATGGTAGTGCAAGTGTGGAATCGTGTAAAAATCTTCCAGTACTTGGGATGAGATGACAAATTTAAACTGTAATGCATCGATTTAGATGGCGAGTACGAGCGCAACAATTTTACATTCCATTCAGTGGATTATACCGGGATGGATAGAAGGGATTGGGTTGAGCAAGAAGTCAAAACATCTCTCACTTACATTTGTGCGAGAATGACTATGGCAACAAGACCACCGGCAGAGACACTACTGGAAGATTGGAAAAGCTACCGAAGCTGACATACGAGTGGATGTCACTAGCCAAAACATCGAGTCCTCAGGAATGCGAGACCCTGAGCTCGAATATCATCGTCAGTTGCGAGCAGAGTCTAGCGACTTGAAAACTTGAAAAATATGGTTGTAGATGAACTTCGGAGCATCCAGCGAGAGGATAGGCTGCAAATGGAAACATGACCGACATTTCTGTAAATTCAAAAGATAATCATAAAAGCGACATTTGGACAACGTCATCAAAGCAAGACTCCTATTATTGAGGAACAGATACCTGTGCCTAGACTGAATTCTTCGACATCGACAAATCCTGCAGAAAATACTGGACGGAGGGCCTAGACAATGTTAAATGGAGAGGAAGACCGGTAGAAGAAGGTTACCTTGATAGACTACCTTACTCTCAGGCTACGGTCGAAGAGAACTTCAGACAGCATCCGGTTGGGTACTTCCTCTTCCATAAATCTATGAGAGACACCATAGTAACTGGTTACGATATTTGAAGGACACAAAGGTGATTACAATCAATTATGCATTGCATAGAACCCCTGAATGATGGACAGAGTCCAACAAAGTTTGAATCTACAAGGTTTTTGGATGAACCAATCGACCACAAAGGAGCCACTTACAAGATCCTCCCCAGCAGTTCCGGTTGGAGGGACCTGTCCTGCTGCGAACCTTGGAATGCTTTCAGTGTTGCTGAATCTGGCCCATATTATACGGACTTGCAATGAGAGATTCGAGGACATCGATGTGCACGAGAGCATCGGGGTGAGGTTGCGGAAACCGAACCCTCTGACCTGCAGGTGTCACCTAGCTTAGTCCATGAAGGTGTATACTGCAGCTAGAATCATCTTCGATCTGCAAGTTATGAAGGACCGACAGCGTCAAGTTTCCAGTCAATCTGCAAGGTAGTATGGCCACTGAACAACTCATCACTCTTGACCGAGTTGATGCTAAATGTTGATGTTCATAACTAATGATAACAGATCTCGATTTGATTCCACACGATGCAGCTTCCAAATACTCTATGTGAAATGGATTCATATCCACGAATACTATATTAAGTTTCATGCTCTGAAATAAAATGGTTTTTTAGCTATCATATTTGCATAACCTTAGCTGTGTCAATAATCAGCCTGAGAAAAATATTCTTTGTAGCACTCAGAAAGTTCACAATATTTAGCTTCAGTAATTAACATCTTCATTGCAATTTGCTACTCCTATCAATCGTGATATTTCCAAACTTGTAAATTTCTGGTAAAAAACTTCTATGGAGATCCCTCCCACTGTCAGATTCGGTACAAGTAGGATATATCAAACCTCCATATCTGTTGTTCGAAGATCCAAATTAATCTAAACTTTCAAATACTGCAAAATTGACTTTGCAACATTCCAATGAATCTCTTCATGATATAAAGAGAAGTGATTCAACTGATGATTTATAAATTATAGCTTCAACCTGCAGTTGCAGTATCACGTTTAACTGCAATCTAGTAACTATTAGTAGACGAACTCAGTTCCATGTCTCCAAATTAAACATAGCTAGAAATTTTCGTATAAAATTCTCGAGATTATTGAAAAAACATACGGTGACCAGCGCGTGCAAGCATGGGACGATAGTCTGCATCAAACGAGCTATCACATTTCATGCATTACATACAATATATCTATCGCCGCACTCAGCACAGCCTATCTATCTCCATTTTAATCGCGCGAGCTTCGCTCATGGCTGGGATCTCGAAGGAAGGCTTTGATGGATCAATGTACCTGAATGCTCCGCAGGCTTCTGCACCACCCCATTACACCAAGCTTCTCCTCGAGAGGACTGTTTGAGTTTCTTTACCACCGGTTCCAGTTTCTGACATGCCCAGCTCAAGCACCCGGCCTCGGTAACGTACTCTCCCCGCGTTGCTTGCACCAGAGCTGCGCAGACAAAACCTTGAGTTACACACTGCCCCAACAGATTATCGTTGAAACGAGGGGCGAATTGGGTTCAAATTCTCTACCCTGGGATGTAGGTGAATGATTTTTGTATGACGTTAATTTAGGTTATGGTTTTTCTGCAAAATATGTTATGTTGTTTCATTTGCAGTTTGTTATAGTAGTGATGAATACAGTCTGGTGTCATTTCACAAAACTACCAGATTAGTTTCATATGAATGAAATGGAGACACGTTCGAATAGACTTCACAAGGATAACCTTCAAGATTCAACATAACAAAATGGTTGTGTAGAGTCATAGGTAGTCTAAACATGGTAGTTTTTTCGTTTTCAGGTTGATTTTCGATTCTGCCAACGTAAACTTATGCCGGGTCGCGCATGAGAGAATAACGACTGGTGCGAGAATTCAGAAAAGTCGAGATGGACTCACATCTGACAAGTCTCGATAATTCGCTCAATCTGCAGATTTACTGTTGATCCAGTTGTTACGATGAAGCATGCTCCGCCTACGCAGAATAGTCAACATCATCCTTGGACTGTTGGGCTGAACAACAATCAAAGGGCACCTATCAACCTAGAATTGTGAAACCTACATGGCAAAATGAAAATTTGGCAAGGTTGCAAGAGAGAGTATCATGTTCTTGGTCTCCAATTGGAACTACGTGTGTCTAGAGTCGTGCAAGAAAATCCAGCAGAGATACAACTGGATGGAGAAGACATTCAGAGTCTTAGGAAGCTATGCTTTATTTGAAATATTTAGGGCCGGATTATCATGCTGATTCGAGCTACAATCATGTTGGTGGGAATGTTCATACACCATTTCTTATCAATCCAATAAAGTGATCCAATCCTCAGGAAAATAAAGTGACCCTTTCCTTAAGCGATTGCTTAAGGAAAGAATCGTAATGTTTACTAAATCAGATTATTGATCCTGAGAGTATACATTATGCGCAATCTATACTAAACCGGATCTTTCTGCCGCAAGCAAGCAAACAAAATACGCACTAATAAAAAAAGTTGCAATGTACACTTTTATGACAAGTTGGGATTGATAACTCTAGCAGAATATCATATATACGAGATTGTTTACAAATGAGACAAGATGGCGAGACAATCACCACATAGCAGCCCTTCCACTCCGCAATCAGATTGGCAATGTCTAACGTTTGATTTGTTGACTATGAGGAATTCGGTTTGATTTGTTGAAAACGAGGAATTCGGTTGTGGTCCACCATGTGAACGAGGTGATCCATACAATAGAACAAGGGTTTGTGCATGAAGATGAGTTTGTTTTCATTGACTTAACGTAACTTGCTGTGGCTGAAAGATAGTCGTTGCAGAAAGGCTAAGTGGAGAATCTTTTGGTCATGCATAAAATGATCCAACAACAAGATAATCGGTTCTAGAAGCTCAATGAGATAGGATCAAACATGGCGTGGAAGAAATGGAGAAACGACAATTAGAAGGCATTATCAAGTGTGCGGGCTAAGCTGAATAGTCTTCATGCCAGCAAGATACGGCAAACTGACGGCTCATCTTAAAAAAACACTATTTGCATCGGCAGTTGGTGACGGTTCAGTTACGAATGCAGGAGATGATAGTGAATAGGCCTCATGGATTGAAGTGTTTCGTGCCATAAGTACCTAGCTGACAAGTATGACAATGTCGTGTAGTACCACGGCTACCAGCTTTATTAATAAAATGAAACTTGCTTATTTTTTTTATTTAGATCAAAATAAAGTCTTATATACTCGTATAAAACTTTTCATTATTTTATTGAGTACTAAAGAGTCAAAATGTGTTTGTTTCAATTTTGAATGATATGTTTATTGCAACTTAAAAGACAGATCTTATGTTGATAATATCAAAGGTATGTCAATTTTTTTACTGTAGAATGATTTAAATGTACTAACAATCATTTCAAACATCAAGATTCAAAAGGCAATTGAAGTATGAAATATTTTAATTGAAACAATAAAAATTGCCAAAATGAACTTGCAAGGTTGAAATAGAAGTTTGCAAGGCCGTGAGCATGCATTTAGCTTGTCAATTAAAGGTATCATCATCTTTGTCGTATAGATTATAACCTTAGTTGTTAAAAATAATAACTCATTGTTACTTTGATTTGCGTAAGGTGTGATATTTTTTATCATGGATAAAAAAACTATCAAATACATATCAAACTCAAGAATATATATTGGAAGGCTATAATGCGAATTCTCAAATATCTAAAGAGTACGTTGGAATTGCATGCATGTCTTGTTTTTATGAAAAATTGCACAATTCTAATTCAATGATTGACTATTTAGCTTGTGATAATATAATACTTGAATGAAATAATTAGAGTATCCAAATTAAACTTACACTTGGAGTTGTATGCATAAGTTGAAATTCTAGATTTCAAAATTATGTGCAGGATTAAATTTATCACAAAATCCATAAATATAGAAATAAAATTTCCGTAGTATGATCAATTTGATTGAATAATAGATTCACTAAAATAATATTACAGTTAAAAATATCAAATTTTATTTTAATGTTCAAATAAATTTATATTTAGTTGTGAATCAAATGATGAAAATAGAAGAAGATAAAATATATAGAGTTCATGTATCATTTTCTTAAACAAGCTGTATGTGATTAGTTGATTGATCTTGTCAAAATTGACAATAATATTTATCTTGTTTATGTTTTTAGCAAAGTGATTACTTTAGAAATTTTTTAACTTTTTAAAAGGTTGGAAAGTTCATCTTTTGGTGAGTACTTTTCAATAAGCTAGTCACCAAAAAGTAAATCGTTCATCATACAATCATTGCAATTATTGGTTATATCTAATGTATGTGCACAAAGTGTTGTCATTCCTGTTCACAATGAACCAAGAGAAGAGAATGATGTTTAACTTTGCTCCATCAAATTACATTTTTTATAGAAGCAATGTTAATAAAAATGTGGCACTACAAGAGAGTGCTGTCATCAGCACACAACAACACTTTAGGGTTAAGAACAATTACCTAAGCTCAACATTTTATAGTCTTAATTAGCTTTTCCAAGTAATAACAATTCCAATTGTGTGAATACTACTAAATTATACTTGATTTAAAATATTTCAAATAATATTCACGAGCATTTTTACTATTTAAGATCTAATCTCTTAAGCATTATTAATCTATCTTGTAGTAAAGAGTGTGGAGTTTTTTTCTTACCTACTACTTATTCATTTTTTAGTAATGATAAACGTCTTGTCGCTCATGAAGCATTATGGATTATAGAGGCCTAAATATTTGTCAATTTTCTATAGCAAGAGCAATGGTGTTTTCAAAAACAATGCGCAATATGCTTTTTAACGTACCTCATTACTGATTCTTGAATCTCATCTTCATTGCTATTTCAAAAAAACTATTCAGCCCATGTTTATTTTTCCACGCAGGCTTGGTAGATAGATACATTTTTTGGCTTCTAAATTTATTTGCAAAAGTTAATCGACAAAATTTACCTTCTTTCAAATTTTTCTAAAAGTAAATGATTGGTAATTATCACTTTTTGTATTGATATAAACCAATTATCTCCTTTCCAATCTATTCAAGCCACATTATTTTACAGTAAGTACAAAGATTATTAGCTTAAATGATCTCTCAAAATTAATTTTTTATTCTTGAACTATTCAAATGATAAGAAATAATAAGCAAATTTATAACTTAGTTTTTACTGTACAACCTTCTCAATTTTTCAAACCACCTTTATTTCACAATGATGCAAGTAGTCAACCATCACTCTAGTCTTTATTGATATTCAGATAAAAGACATGTATTTTATAAGTACAAATATAATATATATATTTGTAGATATAATAGCTTTTTTATGTTTTCTTTTAGCTTGTTATGTAATTTAATTTATGCAGCATATGCTCATCGCTTGGTAGAGAACACTATATATTTTCACTCATAAGACAAAGATCACTTTGTTACGTAATGCAATGTGGGTTGCTCATATTTGTCATGTGTCTTTGTATTTTCTATTTTTAAATTTGGCCTACGATTAGGTGTGGAATGATATAAGTCGGAGATACTCAAAGAACTGAAAGTTGTTCGAGGTGTGATACATTTGAGTGCATACAATCTTGTTCCTGTCTGTTTGTGTGAGTGGCATGTTAGCTTTGTAGAGTGTATGGCAATACATATTCGCACGACATGTTGTTTGCAAGAAATTATTGGACTGAAATTATTTAGATCAAAGAATATTTGCTCCATGATGTATGGAGATCCGTTCAAAAAGATTACACTCTAATACAAAGTAGTCCGTATATCTTTGTGATAATTCTTGCCTTTAATACAATTTTGGAAGATTGTATCATAAGCAATATAAGAAAACTTGTCAACATACATTCTCAAAATCACACTATTAATGGAGTTGTAGAGAACACTACATTCATTTCCAAAATCCAACAATCATGAGTCTTCCTCCCTTCAACAATTATTGAAAATATTCCAATTTTCTAGTGTCCAACAAATTATGAGTAAAGAATTCTCTCTCAACGAATTAATTTACTTCCTATAACACTTATTTTACCACATAGATGTCTATTTCATCAACACTTGATTAATCATAGAAAAATGTTGTGTTCTCACCTCAAACACATATCCGACTTTGCCTTATGTTTGCTATTCAAGTAGTGTATTGGCTTAAAGTGTATGATATACCAATATGCATGTTATGATTATCTTGGCTTGAAATGTATAATACGTCAATGAGTAAACTTTCAACTAAGCTTATGATCTAAAATTGATAAATCATTTCTCTCTTTTTGGACACAAGTTTTTGAGTTTTTTCGCAAACGTATTTAATGTGGACTGTGTGTCATTTTTGAACTAATAAGTTCATTTGCAATCAAAATTTTTTTTAAATCCATGGCTATTTATGCTCTGTTGGGCTATTGTGAGTAGCTGCAAAGTCTTTCATCCATCCCTGGTTTTGAAAATGCATTGTATCTCGGCAAGAGAGGAGGGGAGA